TAATTTGCCATCAAGTTCAGGAGACGTTTCAAGCGAGCTTTGGCCTTCACCCATAATTTAACAACTGATGTAACAGATGAGTACTGCATGCTATGTATAGTTTTTGGCCAAGAGAACACAAAGTACAAAACTACCTTTACAAATTGAAAAAAAAAAAATGCCTGAAACCTAGATGAAATTCAACAAGCACGGAAAAAAAGTGGTTTGGGAAATAATTGGCTAGCCAGCTAACAGAAGAAATGAGAATACTACTGGACCATGGATTAAAGAGAAATAAATAGTGCATCACCGCAACTAAAAACCCCCACATAATTCTGGGCTGTATGAACAGTTATGTTGGCACACAGCAGGCGAGGCCAACAGGTGATGTATTGATTACGCATTGGGTGAAACAGAGGCTGATGAGAGAGCACCACCGTGTCCTGCTTTGTTAGCGCCATGAGGCTGCCTTTGCTTCACTAAATAACTAACACAAGTAGGCCAAGACCTGTTGTCTGCGATGCAATAGTAGTATAAACTGGGGTGTAAGTAGTTATTTTTTCATGTGACTGGAGCTAGTCCACAAGCTGGTTCGATTTATAAATATTTATGAATATTAAACTGGACTGTCCTTTCTGTACTAAAAGCTTACAGTAAAGACCGGCTGAACAGCGGAAGGGGCTCCCTGCCGAAGCTGTGGATCTTCCTGCGTTAGATGTTATGAACAAACTGCAAGTACAGATTTCACAGTTTCTGGAATACGGCTCAGATTGGGGGATGGATTCTGTGATTTCCAAGGCCTGCTCCAAGCCTCCGTTTTCATGCTCCCAAGCACCTGCCACTGCCTGGTTTTCATCTGGGACATAATGCCCTTAGTGCTGAGAACACGCACATTTGCTACCTAAAAAGGCATTTGAGCATGCAGCCATGCCCTAGATAAGAATTTCACTGTCAGAACTGACCATACAAAGCTGGTGAAGGGTCTGGAGCACAAGGCTTATGAGGAGCAGCTGAGGGAGCTGGGGTTGTTTAGCCTGGAGAAGAGGAGGCTGAGGGGAAACCTTATTGCTCTCTACAACTACCTGAAAGGAGGTTGTAGTGAGGTGGGGGTCAGTCTCTTCTCCCAAGTAACAAGCGATAGAACGAGAGGAAACGGCCTCAAGCTGCGCCAGGGGAAGTTTAGGTTGGATGTTAGGAAAAACTTCTTCACCAAAAGGGTAGTCAGGCACTGGAACAGGCTGCCCAGGGAAGTGGTTGAGTCTCCATCCCTGGAGGTATTTAAAAGAATGTGTAGACCTGGCCCTTAGGGACATGGTTTAGTGGTGGACTTGGCAGTGCTCAGTTAACAGTTGGACCTGATGATCTTAAGGGTCTTTTCCAACCCAAACGCTTGGATGCTAATCCCCAGGACACATGGCAAGACCAGCTCCCTCCCCCGTAGGGAGCGGGGTGCCCCCACGGGTGCAGAGCCGCACTGCGGCTGCTCAGGGGCTGGCCTCCACCGCAGCGAGCTTCAGAGGGGAGCAGTGAGAAATAACTAGCTCAGGTCTGGCCGCACGCCACACTTTTAACTCAGGGTTTGACAACTCATGAAGGACTGCACAGAAACAGCTCTTATTTAACTGTTTTGTGGGTGTTTTTTTTAATATAAAAAGCTTTTATTGTATTGGGAATTAAATTAACGCCTCACACATGTACTTTGCACTGAATCAAAAAAAGAAAACCCAAACAAAGGGAAAAAAAAAAAAACAACCGAAGTTCAAAACCAGTACATAAAACACAATAGCTAGTCAGATAGGAATACCATAAGGCACACGTTCAAGTATTAGTGTAACAAGTATCCTTGGGGGGGGAGGAGAGGTGGGTACTCCCACAATCCTTTCGGCACAGGTGGGGTTCCTTTCCCTCACATTTAAAATCACAAAGGCTTTCCGCAGCTGCGGTTCCCCTGTGGCCGAGCACAGCCCTGTAACAGTTCCAATGGCTCTACCATTGGTCACGTTTTATGTCAGTTTTATCAACGGACTGGTACGGGAGAAAACAGATGCAGAATTAAGGTGCTGCTTTGCTGTCACGACAGTTGCTCTGCGACGCCACTGTGTCAGTCCCAGTGCTCACGTACAGTCCCAGTCCCAGCTCACTTCACAGATCTCCAGGTGTATCAAATTAGAGGACACCATTAAATGACCAACTTTTAACATCCCATTGTACTACCGGTGTAGGAATTTGAATTTGTGAAGTCTCCTCCTTATACTTGCCCTGTAAGTTTAACAAAAGGTTTCTTTCTTTTTTGATTAAATTCACACTTGTTTTTAAACAAATGCCCCCCCTGCAATGGAGTGAATTTTGTCCCCCCATTTATTTACGCAGTAGGAGCTTTGAAAGGCCACACAGACCACAGAAAACTGAGGCTCAGCTCTTGGAACATCTCAACAATAGTGTTACCCATTTCAAAGTAACATTCGGAGAAACATCTCCGCCCCGAAACAACCGCTGCGAACAGCTACTTAAAACGGTCCTCATCGCATAAATGGTTTCTCCACTTACTTACGCTCCTTTCTCCTACCAGACACCTGCGACACACACGCCTCACTGCAGAGTGGGAAACTCCCACCGAAAGCCTTTCTCTGCAGCGGAGACACGAAGGCAAGACAACCGCACCGCTAGAGGCAAAACAGTTCCATGCTAGAGGAGCATTTCCATGCATCGTATAAGGCTTAACAGCCGCTGCGTGACCCCTTTATTTCTGTTTATTTTGAAGCTGTACATCTTAAGCTTCTTGATTCCAATTATGCATCTTCATTTTTCAGACTATTTTTATCTGTTTCATGACTCTCCTTCTGTTCTCGAGGCATCTGTTTAGGCTTTTGCTTACAGGTACCTTAAATTGCTAAATTATTTACCCTATATGGAACATACTGCAGTGTTGTCATTTTGTTTTTAAAAGCCCCTTAATTTTGTCTGTCAGTGCTGTCAGACTACAAAATATTGAGTTATAAAAAAGGCAGATATACACCATCCAATATCCAGGAGGATATTCAGTTTTGCACCACAGGTTGAAGGAATTGTTAAAGGTCAAGGAAATAGAAAAACAAATCCAAAAAGCTTCCAAAACAAGCCAGTTTTAGTTTGGATTTTCCTTTTTAAAAGATATAATGCTCTGATAAATGTAATTTAAGGAAGGTCATACACATGACCAGCATCTGCAGTAGGTCACTTCCTTATTTCTCCCACTCCCTCACAAAAATATATATACATATATTTATATTTATATAAATGAAATGGTTTTAGATCCTCGTTTTGCGGACACAAGTCATACATTTAGAAGGCAGCAAGACACTAGCATTCTGTTTCTTTGCTGTCCACCCGGTTCTGGCGCTGTAGTTTAAAGGACGAAGCTTTCTCGCTCCGAATGACAGGATGGTCTGTCAAGTCCTCAAAAGATTTGGCGGCTGAGCTGCTATTTGGGAAAGGGTCCTTCTCAAACCCGTCCTCGTCAATGTGAGAGTCAGTGCTCGGGTCCTCTTGAATGGTGTCCATTCTCTGGTGGTCCTGTTTCGGTGCCGCGGCGACGGCGGGCACGGTGGTGATGGGCTGCAGTGGCTGGTGCCGGCTTGTCGACTGCGCCGCGGGGAAGGGCTTGATGATTCGAACGGAAGCAGAGTCCAGGCTGCTGAGCATCTCCACGTTCTGCAAGACACCAGCAGCCACATCAGTGGGAGAAGCAACCAGGATCTAGTGCAGGGTTCAGTTTTTGCGCTGTTTTCAAGAGAAACAGGCAACAGGCACCTTCCGAGGAGCACCCGCGCTTGTTAGAGCCGTTTCAAGGCTACTGCGTCCTCCCCTCCGCTCCCAGCAGAGCTGTGCTGCCTGCCCTCACGCCGCCACAGGCCACCCTGCACCAGCCAGGCTGAACCCACTGCACCGTGCTGGAAAAGGAGTTAGATTTTGGCTTTTACAGTAGATTTACTTATGAGCAAGGGAGCATCCAACAGAAATGATTGTCTTGTCTTGTTCTCAAGAAACCCAGCTACGCTAAGCCCTAAAGGCCTTTTTCTCTCTGCTCTTTCCTTCCCCACATAAGGCACCATGGGTGACAGCCCCACTGGGACAGAGCTGACGACTCAGCCCCACCTCCCCTGGGGCCCAACGCTGCTTTGGCAAAACCTGGGGCTGGAGATGCAGGGTCCAGCCAGACGCCACAGAGAGCTCAGTGGCAGGGAAACGGTCAGAGGTACAACTCATCCCACCCTTCCAACCTGGAGAGTTCCTGGTTCCACGTGCGAGAAGTTGCACTGAACGCAGGGTCAAAGACCAGAGGGGGACCACTGATCACACCCAAATTCTGCAACCCACATTAAGTTAAAGCCCGTTGATTTCTGCTTCTATTCAAGCATAGTTTGGAAAATATCTAGAGATTTCTGGGGGTACAAAAAGCCCCACAAACCTTAGTAGATGCTAATGCTGGGCAGGATGAAATGTTTACCTGCTACCAGTACCGCATTTCCCAACCGCTCAATCCTCAGCGGATCCAAATGACACCAGATTTGTTTGTTAAACTGTTGCTGGTGCAAGGAGCCCGTCAACTATACCCGTGCTCTGTTGCTACACCTGCTTCTGGGATTTTCTTGATTGAATTCAGGTATAAAGCTCTAAGGTGACTCTTCTTACAGCGTTCAAGACCAGCTGTGGGGGACTTGAACTAAGATCACCTCCAGTTACATCAGAGTAGACAACAGAGGCAATCTGCCTCAGCGGTTCTTGACTTCAGTATGCTTCCCCCAGTGCTCGTACAGGAGCTCTGCAAGGTTTCTTTCCCCGCTCTCGTTACAAAATGAGATTTCCTTAATTGAATGTTTCAGTTATTAATAAGAATTGGGCTGTCAAAGCACTGGGCAGAAAATCTACGTCAGAAGGTGCCCTGTGCTGGACTGTAATTAAAATTTATCTAGGCACTTTTTAGCTCTTCATCTCTCTCAACTCAGAATCTACAGGGCGAGAAATGTCACTGACAGGTCCCTCACCCTGAGGCCAGCTCTCCCACAAGCAACTGGAAGGCTTTAGCCCATCTGGCCACTAGAAGCTGACTCCTGCAAACAACCATTCTGCAAAGACACCACATTTTGCAGAGGTTTTTCTGCAGCGTCGCCCTGCCGAGCCTTGTGCTTGGTTGACACCACTTGGCTGGGAACGAGCGATCTGCAGTTGAAGCTGCCGAATGACCCGTGCCAAGGGGACCCCGTACACAGGCGCCCGCTGCGCGAAGCGGTGCCCCGCAGAGTGGAGCGGCTTCCTGCCCCGGGAGCTGCGGCTGCTGCAAGAGAACTGCTTTGTCAGCAAGGTCAAGGCACAGCTCTTACAGGAAGGAAGAATCAGACCCCGCCAAGCTGCAGCGCTTGATATATCGAACAGAGGCGTGTTCGAGAAAACGCAGTTTCCCTCAAATTGATTCATCCATCTGCAGCGAGAGGCACAGGGCTCCAGGTCTGTCTGTTATCACTGCTTTGATAAATACTCTGCACACCCCAGAGGTTCAGATTTTCTAATACACGTTGGATGGCTTTCTGCCAATTCATATTCAGACAGCAACTTACACTGGGGCAAAACAGGGACTTTGTGTTCTCCTCGTACTGCTTGTCCAATTTCTTGTCCTATTGGAAAAACAAACAAACAAAAGCAAACCAAAACATGCACACACAAAATAAGAAAGTTAGTTTCCCAGTTGCAAGGTCCCTGTCCCCATTTCCCTGCAGGAACACGGCAGGGCGTGGGGCTCTTGCCCCTTCCCCTACCTCCCGTGCCTTCCCACCCATCCCAGGAGCGCTCGTGGCTGTGGCAGCCCTCTGCTCGAACGCCACGCTGCTGCCAGCATCACACCACATGCCTGCGCTCTCCGCTGCCGTGAGCTCTCGCTCTTTACCCATCCAACCATGCTCGACCAAGACCACTTCCCGCTCTGCGTCTCCCCACAAAAAGTGGGTGTCTTATTCCTTAGCGGGGCTTTAGAAAACTTTGACTCTAATTAAAGTTACCAAAATTATACTTGGATAGAATTGGGGAGGCAGAGGTAGAAAATCTGCCTAGGGAAGAATAGGAACGGCTCCAGGGAATAGTCACGGGAGCACCGGGCCTGCCAGAGCCCAGCAGAGTTTAGCAGGAGTTTTGCCTATCGAAGGCGCAGTAAGTCTTACACGTGCTGGATTCCCCCCCTGGGGTTTGCTAAGAGCTTCCCATCACCTTCTCCCACAGACACCTGCCATTTCATGTATGAAAGGGGTCCTCTTACAGCTCAATCCAACAGAGCAGTCATCTCAAAGAGAGCTTACTCACCACGCAGTGCACAAGGATGCTGAGAGGAATCCAAAAAAGTAAGGAGAAGACAAGCACAGAGCCCACTATATTGTCCGCTAGGAACTTCCCTGTGAAAGCAGTTCAGATCTGTTAGCTACCTGCCAAACACTGTCACGAACACACCCATCTGCCCCGTGCTGCAGCCACTGCTCATGCGAGCCAAGCCACAGCATTGCTCGGAGAAGCACAGGCTGCAGGACGAGGCCAAGATAAAAGAAATTATACAATTTTAGAGAAGTGTATCCAACATGTTAACAGTTTTTTCCCCTCTGTTCTTCTCTGATGAGAAATGCTGACAGGCCGTAACATTTAATACGAGTTGACTGGGAACAGGCTGTACTGCGTTAGCCAAGCTGCCCCCCTCAATTATACAAGACACACTGCGAGTCTGGTACAAAATTCTGATTTTACAGTCAAGTGATAACTGCCTGCCTCCACAAACAAAATATTTGAACATCAAAGATACACAAACTTCCTCTACCTAGGCAGGCTAAAGAGCTTTAACAATTACTTAAGAAACAATTTTTTGACCCTAGAACTCAAGATTGCAAGCCCCAAACCCAGATAATTACGCTGTGTAGGCACAGTGTTACCGTGAGCATACGGAGTTACCCAGCCATTACACAGCACCAGCTTATTAACAGGTTTTGTACGGTTCCAGTAACACAGAGCAAGGCGCTGGGGGGCTACGCTGGGGGGCACCCTGCTTGGACCGCGCAGCGGGGATCGAGACCGAGGAGGCCCACTCACAGCTGCCGGGCAGGGACTCGGAGCAGGCACACAGCTTCAGGTGCGTGACCTCAGTGGGTTTCTTAAATAAGAGAGAAACGAAGTTCTCCTCTCCCAGTCTGTTGACATGTAAATCCCACCGAGAGGCCCACTTCATACTACGCCGAATCTATCTGGGCTCTAAAAAGACTGCCCGTTATTTACTTTTCTCTAATTGATCTACTTCTTGGTATTCAGACAAGAAGCTATCGTCTCCTTTAGAAGCTTGGAAGATGCCTAGAAAATAATGGAGTGGAAAAATGCAAAATGATCCCCCATCCTTTCAGCTTTAAAAGGCAAGAGCAGTATTGTCAAGCTTTAGGCAAAAATACATTTATCTATATCAGAAACACAGCTACTAGCTGCCCTTGCATACAGGTGAATAAAACCCAGCCAGCTAACTCCCTCCGAGGCTTTAGAGGGTCATGTCATGAACTAAAAAAACCCCAAAGGATATGGTTACGTATCTTACCAAAAGTATTGATGCTGAGTTGGTCTATGAAATCCCAAAATCGTTCAATCACATCCTGTACTTGCTTCTCACATTTACCCTGCAAAAGTAAACACTTACTTACACAACAATCCTATGCTATTTAACCGTAAGATGGAGAGGGAAGAAGATACAAAGATTATAACGAAATAAAAACTACAGCCACAGCAGCACTTGACTCGCATTCTGAATACGGGTTTATACTCATGCCCAGTAGCAGCGGTCCGTTTTTACTGCCTTTATTTTTGGCAAAACAGTTTCAATTCTATTGCTGTCTGAAACAGATGAAATTTTAATGTCTGAAATCTGCAAAACCCGCCCCACCGTCACCCCATGTCAGGGGACACAAAACTGAAGCTTCTGGAGAGGTTTAAGCACCAGAAGGCCCAGTTCCCATTACCCACCGACAAGGCTGCAGCTCTCGGGAACCCAAGGTTACAGACAGACAGACTCCCAGATCTGGCTGCGCTGGTTTAACACAGCAGACCACCGCTCTTTGAGTTCTGCCGGCGGAAGGGCTGGGGCACGCCCTCCCGAACTCACTGCTGCCAACACCCAGTTTAGCTTCCACTGCTGGGGTCTGCGGTGACGCGACTGTCCGTGCAGCTGTACCACGGAAACGGTCGCTGCATGCCAGCAGCCCACCAGCCGCCCTGCCGCAGCCTCGCTGCCCCCTTCAGACACTGCCAGCTGGATTTGCACGCGATTGTTCCCTAACCTGTGTTATTTTAGTCAAAATTAATTGGGCTAACGTGAACAGCTGAAATAGCAAGCACTGCAAACCTAGCTGAGCTTACGGCAGCGCTCATTCTCCTCCTTCGCACAAACTGCCGGCTGGCTGAGCTGTGGGGAGCAGCAACTAACTTCCATCTACAGCCTCAGACACCCTTTAATATTTACCCCGTGGAGAGGTACTTCCACAGTACCGCCCTGCCCAGCAGCACATCAAGCTTTGGCTTCTCTTTACCAGCACAGTCCTTGTCACAGAGGACACACACACCCAGCCACAGAAGCAGAGCATGCAGTCCACATCTGGGAAAACTTACATTTGTATCGCAGAAGCCCACAGTGCAAGGCTTCCCCTTGCGCAGGAACAGGAACTGGTCGTTAGCGTCGACGTACGGTACGCACCTATCCTGCTCGTCCCGGCAGCACACCTTGCAGGAATTATCCGTTTCTGTAATAAAGCAACAAGCTCATTCCTGGGCAGCACCAAGAGTCACCTCCAACTCGTAACCACACAGATGCATAACCCCACGTGTCCCCTGCTGACCGTGTTCCTGCCCGGCTTCCCCGTGGGGAAGGCAGGACTGTGCGAGTCGCCCGATTTTGGTTACTCTGATGACCAAGCCTGAAACTCACCCAGATGCCCTGGGAAACATATTAGGGAGGGGACACAGTGGGACCAAGCTTTCCAAGTTGATACTCCAACACTGCAGGAACCTACAGGCGGGTGAAGAAGTTCCAGACATGTCCAAGACACAGATTTAAATATTTCTTGGACTTTGGGTCCTCTAGGCACTCTTCTCCTTGGCTCTGCCCTCCATCTCAAACAGTGGGGCTCAGGGCACTTCCCTGCACTGCCCCTGTGAAGCCTTCCTCCTGCTCCCAGCTGCTTTACCCGATTTAAGAGCTGAGACGGAGAGCATGCAAGCAGCGAAGCTTACTGACAGAATTCTATGACAGGCAGGTTTGCAGTAGCACGGGACGGGACTCGGGGATCCTATGTTCTCACGGGACTTTATCCTCTCTGAAATCTCTCTTTAACCACTTGTTGGAGGCTACCACTCTGCTGCCGGGTGCCTGGTCCAGAGGCTGGTTGGGATCTCTCTACAATCGGGGAACAGTCAGACTTTCCCTCCCATCTGCCTGTGGTGGAGGATGTGGGGGGTGGGAGAGCGCCCTCTCCTTTAACCGGGGTGCCAGACCATAAGTCTCATCTTAATGCCTTCAAACCCAGACCGCTAGAGGACAAGAGAACATTTACATTTGTTTTCCAAACAGAAAACACTAGCCCTGAAAAACCAAGGGTTTGAACTTTTTCAGAAACCATAAACTCAGCCCTGCAACAGGCAAGCCCACAGCGAAGCCAGCGTTCTCCGAGGAGCAGAGCTGAAGCACACATTTCAGTCCAGTCCCACGTCACCCACCGTTGCACGCACACGACCGTAGGTTCTTCTCCCTCTCGCAGAAAGGGACGCACTCTCCATCCTTGCACTTCCCCATGTCCACGCAGACAGTGTCATCTGGAGCATTCCCTGGAGGGGGGCACTCGCTGCTGTTCCCTACAGACGGAGGTCAACAGGATGGGAGGACTGTGTTAGAGCAAAGGGCAGAGTGCCTGCATGTGCAGAAGAAAAAGGACAATACAGGAAATTCAGACGCCTCCCGGGGGAACCCCAAGAGCTTGTTCCTGACTTTGATCTGCAGGCTGCCTGCCCGCTCCTCCGAGAGGCAGCAACAGCTTTGGAGGCTTTCAACAACTCCGGCATTGTGGCACTCCAGCAACCAGGGAGCGGGCAGCAGAGCCTGGAGGTGCCATCAGCAAAGCAGGAGCTCTGACTTGACTCCTGGCCTCCAGGAAAGATTACGAGGAGGAAGTAAACAAGCGGGGAAGTGAAGCAAAGTTGCAGTAATTCCACCCTCTCTATGGCAAGACTCAGCTCATTCTTGTCTCTCCTCCCAGTGACACACCCTGTTTTGCTTTTTCTTTTTTTAAGGGAAAGAAAGAAAGAAGGCAAAAGAGAAAAAAAAAAAAAGAAAAATCAACATTTTTCATGTTCTTCTGGGCAGTAAATCACCAAGTGACTCCTGAACTACAATGAAACTCATTATAGGGCAATTTCGTGATGCTTAACTGTTCTCTAAAATTACATGTACCGGATGAATAAAGGGCACTAGTTTGAAAGCGGATCAAACAGGACACTGAGCCTGGAGCGCTTGGCTAGCTGACGCAAAGGGGACAGAAACACGTCCTACCCGTGCAAAAAGACTCTCCTTTACAAGTGGCATTTATGGCTTCTTGGCATTTCTTCTGTGCACTTTCAAACTGGCAGCCTTTACAGCAGGGGCTGTTCCGATCACTGTGGAAAGATCAAAATGAAAGGAAGCAATTTTTTTTTTTTTTTTTTTAAAAAAAGAAGTACAAGCATGACAAAGCCAGGGAAAAAATGATGTTTAGGAAAAAAAATAAAAGCTACTTCTTGGAGATTGACTCACTGATTGAAAACCTTTGCCCTCTCTACCCCTCCCATGACCACCTTTCTACACAGCCACTCACTCTTCATTTACCAAAGGTAAAAGCAGGTAGAAAGCACAACATATCGAGAGACAACACAGGGATCCTTGTATTTATTCAAGGCACCTGGATCCCCTTGCTACTTGCTGTGCAACTTTGGACAAGACCTTCCACTGTTTCCTTCCCCGCGCATTTTTCCCCATTTGTCCTGAAGGTTTACTACTCTTTATTCTGCACTCTCTTTACTCTCTTTGTTCTGCATCTAATGCAAGAAGGCCCTTAGTACAAACACCGTCATTAACGCTGAGGGAATTTCTTGCTGAACAACAGGAGTTGCATGAGCTCTCTACTGTTACACGCTGCAGAGCTGAACTCTGAAAAAACAGACGGGACACCGCATTGCAACAGGGCCACAAACACCCCAAAGAGCAAGAACACTCATTGAGTGCAGTCACTGTGTTGTCTGCTCAAACACGTTTTGCAGCAGTCTTGAAAATACCAGTATGTGATCCCAGTTTAAAGCCACCTTGCAATACAAGCAAAAATTGTATTTGCACAGGAAGTTTGCACAGGAAATTTTTAATATTAATTTTTAATGCCTGAGTTTGCATAATCATCATCATCATCACCTTCACGTCTGTAGCTCGTGGCAATCTTCAGAAAAAGTAACAGAATGCTATAAAAACTAAGGTACACAACAGTGCATGCACACAGCAGCCTTTCCTGGAATCCTTTATTGTCTTCGGCTCACATGTTTAGGCTTAAAGCCAGGAAACAGGTCTGTGACACTGCAGGTGGTTTTAGGAGCTTTCAGCCCAGCCCATCGTTCTCTCCTGTGTAAGAGAAGTTGCAGCTCATTTCCCCTTACCTGCATTTAGCACCATCTTTCAGTTTACAGTCTGCAGAGCAGCAGGGATCAGCCTGTTGGTACAAGAGGCCAGGATCGCATTCCTCCCCTTCATCCACCCTGGAGTTCCCACACACTTTGTTGTTGCGCTCTTTGAAGCACTCCTGGGCCTTGATCTCTATGGTCCTATGGATGGATTTTTTGCTGCAGCTTGAGAACATCTAGAGAGTCACGAGGGGAAAGAGCAGCACTGAGGAGCGTACCTTTCTGTCAACAAGTGGCACCTAAGACAGCCTCAGCCTCCTTATGCCTCCAAATTCTGGTGTCTCAGAAAGCAGTTATTCCCTCTATACTGCCAGTTTGATACCTTGGAAAAATTTTAAGATGGGAAAATAACGGTTGGGTCCATAAAGGACATTGCTACGTTACAATGCAGGGACGCCCGCGCGCAGTCTGGCTCAGGGTCACAGAGCCAACTCCAGCTCTCCCACAGCTTCAGGGCCACTAGCAACCACCCCCAGGAAGGGCTGTGAAGTTGTATCAACGGGGAGAGACTGCGCTGCCTCTCTGCAGCAGGGCTAGACATGAACCACAAGTCAGACTAGACTGCAGACTAATCATTTCCTTGATAATGTTGGTTTCTCATCTGCAGAACAGGCGCAACGCCAAGTCCATGCTGCCAGTGCAAGCTTCCGAGACTGGCGAGCGCCATGGCTGTGGTGTCTGGCAGTCCAGCAATAATACCTATGGACCACCCAAACGCTACTTGGTACTGGAGGTCCTGTATTTGACTCTTGCTTTTAGGAGCATGCAGCCACAGCTAACTAGAAACAACTAATTACAAAAGCACCTGGACATGCTACAAACTCCAGTGAAACTCAGAATCCAAAGTCAAGCTTATCTTGCAGACCACCCAATGGCACGCAAGTATGTTTTCTTATGGCTAATCCATTACATTCCTGACAGTTCCAAGCTACAGGAATCATTAACTAAATTGACTTCCCATGCAGAGGGTCACTGACCATAGCAGAAACGTGTACGTGGAAGCAAAACTATGCAACTATACCTTATTGTTTTCGTGATCTCCACTGACAGCAATGGGATACATAACATATTTCCCTCCCTGGTCTTCAGTGGGGGCACATTCTGGCAGACTATCGGGATCGTGCTCTGCTCCAAAGTTATGTCCGAGTTCATGCGTCGTAACCAGGTCAGCCTCCTTTTTTGAACATAAAAAAACAATGCTGAAAAAAATTAGTCTGAGCAGGACAGAGCAGAAGATCCCACCTGCTTCCAGGCCACCAGCAATTCTAAAATACACTGAGATGGAAAGTGATTTCCCTCTGAACATTTTTTTATTAGAAGTGGGCAACTAAAGTCAAGTAAAATAATGCTGCATTTCCAAAGGCAAGTTCCAGGACTAGGTTTGAATACTGAACCACTGTTAAAGGCAAAGTGCTGTCCTATAATACTGATTCAATCTTGTTTTCAATGCAATGCAGATACTTAAAATATCGAAATTGGCTTTTAAATAGCTGGAAGGCATAAAAAGTTGAAACAAAAACCAATCCAAACAAACACCAGCTACTACGATTAGTCAATCTCCTTTAACGTATCTTGCCATTAAAATTATTTCTTCTAAATGGATGATGACATTAGGAGTGCTGAATAAGCCCTTCTATTGCACGATTACTAGGAAAGACACCTACAAACGTGGCCCAACAGGGATGGTTTTCCAACATCATTTCTGCAAGACGGGACTCCCTCTGCTGAGGATCCCCAACTGGCTCTGCCTCGCCGGGCACCTCCCTGCAGTGCCCTGACCAGCAGATGGTGTCAAGCTCACAAGGTGGCAACCACAAATAAAACTAGCACAGAAATAAAAGTTAACCACAAGGAGACCGAGCAGTTCACGAGAGAGAGGAGCAAGTCTGACGAGCTAACCGTCATTTCAGCTGCTGTGCAGGCACAGGAAGGAGCAAGCACTGCAATGAGCGGCGCCGGTACCCAGTGTAGGCATAGCTAATGCGAGAGCCAGAGACAGGAGAGCTGCCCAGAGATCGCTCCTGTGCTTCATCGTGTTTACTTTGGGGAAGGGGTTTAAGCAGCTATTTTTTTGTCTTTCAAAACTCAAGTGGACACCATGCAACGCTCTCCCTGTGAAACCAATCCATAATGCTCCCGCTGCCTCATCCCAAGCTTTGTGACTGCCACCGGGAAGACAGCAAACTCAATTTCCTTTGTAATCCGAGGCAGAACTCCAGCTTGGAGATTGAACAACAAATGCAAATAGCATGGCAACGGCTAGAGCTCTTTGTCAACATCCCTCTCACACAAAGCTTCACTGTCTTTTTTTTCTAGCTTCTTGACAGCTTCTGTGCCAAGTTTTAGCCCACACATCAATTATGAATTCCATTTATAAGCAGGCTACAGAAAAGCACAGCTGAGAAGTCAGCAGAAGTCAGCAAAAGAGAAATATGCCCAACTGCAAAGATTTGGTAGATGCAAACACAGGCACTGCTCTGGTATCTTTACAAGTGAGACAACGCTCATATTCAGGCCTTTATGTATTTACTGTCTCATGAAATATGGAAAAAAATCCACACACCATCAATTTACATTAGGCTTAGTATTAGCACTAATAAGCCCTGCCTATTATACTGTTCTCTGCCCTACTTATTCGGGATACACACACACACACACAAATCAGGTAAAGAAATTTCATTAGAAGGTTTAAATTAAACCACCTACTTTGCCTGAACCACTTTCACTGCTTGACCTTGCAAATGGAACAGACCAAGTGTACACAATCATCCATCTGCATGTTGTAGATGTACGTAATAGCAAACACATCAGTTTTCTCTTACTTGAGTCAGCAGACTGATTTTATTCTTATTTTAAGTCTACTTGTTATATAATATTTGCTTGTTCTGTTGAGGGTTTGGTTGGTTTTTTTTCTAAAGCAAAATACATTGAAATTCATCTTTGGATATCAAGATCCTGCTTGTATCTGAAAAACTAGAGCTCCTATCAGACACTGGCTACGTTTCCTCATTACTGTTCCCCAGGGAATTCAATCTTCAATTCCATTCAGTCCTGACTCCCCTTGTCAGCAAGGACAAAAACTACGATTTTGGTTTTGTAGACCTACATCCTTGTCTCCAGGGATCTGACTCAGTCAGAAAGCTAGCAGCTCGTTTCTGACAGAGCACGGAAGCTTGTCACAATCCCATGGCACACATCAACACACACGTACATACACCGAACGTTCACGCTCTGCAGAGGAGAATACTCTCCTACCTTTGTGAGGATGGTCTTCCCGTAGTTCTTGGTGCTGGTTAAGCCACTGTTCAGATAGATGTCCTTCTTTGCAATTTGACTATAATAAGCTATAGAAGTGAGAAAGAAACAAATCAAAATTGTGAAACATTTTCCTTGGGTTTCAGGGTTCATTAGGGGAGAGAGGGATACTTGTTTGGGGATATGAACAGCTTTATTGTTCTCACAGGCTCACCAGTGAGACCCTGCCTCTTGCCAGTTTTTGGAGTGGGGAATCTTTCAAGCACAGCACAAACAGCTCACATATTGCAGTAAAGGGGAAAATATAAGAAATTTCCAAGACAACAGCACTGCCATTCCAGAACCGCTGCAAGATGCACCCACACAAAGCAGCCCTTGGCCTAGGGCTTAGTCTAGCCAGCTTGTTCACACCAGATAGCTTAATGACTCCTATCCTTCCCTCCCTTCTTTTTCCAGCTCCAGCCAAGAAAACAGCCATCTATTCTATCCAAAAAACAACCACTAGAGTCTATGCAAATAACACATCATGCTTCGTGAAAGTTGGAGAAGAGGATTAAACACAACTAACAAAAACTAGCTTTCAACCCACAGTTGAGAGGGAAGAAAAGGAAGCCTTGCCTTTAGGACAAATGCCACCATGGCTGTTAGGTCTGGGAGAGCCAACATAAGCCAATCCAAGCGTTCCCATGTCAAAATCTTGATAGGTGAAGAGATGAGCAAGGCACACGTGAGCTGCTTTCTCAGCAATATCAAAGCTAAATTGCTTTAAAGAAAAAAAAAAGTCAAATCTTTATAAGACACTTTATGGTGCATATTAAAAGTCCACAGATAAGAACATTTATCTAATGAGCTAGACAGGCACCTTCTAGATCTGGTTAAGTCAGAAAAAAGCAGCTGTTATCTGTCCTACAGAGCTGCAGAAAATTAAATGAATACCCAAGTACCTGGTACACATTCATTTACACAGCTTGACTATTCATTTCCCCTTTTCACAGAGGGGAAAACCAAGTACAATACTTTGATGAAGGTCACAACTGCCTTTCTGACTCAGGCCACTTAATAATTTGAATCGGTGTGTGCTCTGTAACTATGCAATGGAGCCCTTTACCACAGGCTACAGGCCACAACAGCTAGTTTGACTTTGCGTACCATCTACACATCATGCGAAGGAAGTAGAGGAGTTTCATCTGTTACTACGGAGCAGCTGTATGAACGAGTAATTCCCTGTAAGGGGCACAATTTTTCAAGGGTTACAACCTACCTCTAGCAGCATTTTCACATCCCAGGCATCTTTCTTATCATCTGGGTAACTTTTTGCCATATTGTAATGTTTTTCTCCAGGCTTTACAGGATTTGGTTCATTGTGGATGATAATCTACATTTCAAAAAGGGTAACAACAATGTAGAGGAATTTTGATCAGTGTTACAGCTACAGAAAAGCTTTCAATGTAATCTTAAATGTCTCAATAGTTCTGCAAGAAGAAAAATTCAGACTCAGCATGCTTCTAATGTTAACTTTTCAGCCTCTGCTAGTTAAGATACACTGACTACATCCTAAGCAACTACACCAGCCATTTTATAGAGCAACATCAACAGTTGTCACTGTAACACTGTAACATTCTGCTTTGAGATGCATGTTACTCTATCAAAAAAGACCACCCAAATACAACCAGGATTTACATCTGGTATAAACAACCCCAAACCATTTCAGAGTTCTAGCTAACTAAAACATATTTTAAAGGATTGCTACCTTCCCAGTAACCTAGAATTAGTGCATCATGTTCTTTCCCCTCCCTTCCCAATTAACTCTCCTTCCTCGTTCCTGCAGACCTTTGCCCAGCAAAGGGGCAGCGAGCTTGTACCATGAGTCCCCGTGTTTCACATCACAGCTCTTGCAGTACTCCGAGCCGAGGGATTCCTTTTCTTTTTAATGCCCTTTTCCCAATTTCTCTGCACTAACTTTCAGGAGCCATCCTATAAATTGTAGTCACTACATCCCGTGTGTCCACCCTGTATCAGTCTCTACACTACCATGATATGATGTCTCAGGGGAGTCATTAAAGCTCTCCAGGCAGGATTCACGTCTCTCTCATCTGTGTCTGGGACCCACTCGGGCTTTGTAAGCTAAGCACTAGCTACAGACACAAACATTAAATACATGCATAAGAGTATGTCTGACAGAAACAAGAATTGCTCATATTCTGGAAAAAAGCACCTTTGAATTGAGGTTAAATATAGAAAGATTCTCCCTGAAAACTCCAGTCTCAAAAGCTGCAAGGAACTGAAAATGGGCATGCTGCGTCAAATCATTAACACCACCTCTAGCAAGATGCTATTTCAGCGTGCCCCTGGCTGGAGTTCATAATGTAGGATTTGATTATTTTAGCTCTAATCCAGATAAAATAATCAGAAACCTTGATATCCAAAACATGTTCTTATCTTTTAAATTAGAAACCCTTTGCATAGTTCAGTGAATACCTGTTCTATCTGTATGCCGTACCCGTTGAAGGCTCCATTGTCCCAGGAAGTATTTCGGTAGATGTCATCTACTCTGTCTATCAATTCAATCTATGTAGAAAAGAAAAACAATTTACTTAGTTCCAAGCTTTCATGTAATAAAGCTCAAGACACTCAGAGAAGCTGCAACATACTTATCTAGAAACACTCACTTCAAATTAAAACTGAACCTCATAACATAACAGACAGACTCACAGATCCAAAAACAACAGCACTTCGGTCTGGAGAGTATTACCAGATATCCCTGAAAATTTTCCATCATAAAAAAGCAGTACAAACTTTCCCATTTATCACTTTAATTTGTGTAGTGGAAGAGCGATAATATTAAGAACAACACATCTTGGGAAACGCTTTGTTCATGTACTAGTTTGCCAGGTTTCCTTGAGGGGAGGGGCAGAGGAGGGAGTTGTTTTTACTGCTTTGTTTTAGCACGATGCTTAACTAGTTTAACTGACTTGAGGCCTGCTTCCCTCTCCCAGCCAAAAACCTATTATTTTCCTCATTATGGTTGAAGCATAAGGTTCCAGAAAGTCTCTCGTCAGTGCTCGCTATCAATACCTCCCTTTTCAAGCTGTTCTCATCTCCTTAAAAACCATTTTCTACTAAATATAAACCATCAAAGTTGCTCAGAATGAAAAGTGACATCCAGAGACACCCCAGAATAGCTTATGCTTTAGTTTTCCAATCACTGTGTTGTTTGCAGTACACATCTACTCGGGAAACAGGACAGCAGGTTAGCCTGGAAGAGTCATGCGTCAGATGTGAGATAACAGCACCTCTGCAAATACACAAATTGAGGCTCCGTTACCTGGGGAATGTAAACATTTCTGGGGACAGAAAGGTGAAAAAGCCAGCAAAGATGGAACCGAGTGATTAGCATTTCAAAGATTCAGGCTCAGAAAGAGACTCTTGACAAACAACAGGCCTCAAAAGCGGTTTTATTTGTTTTTATCTTGAGTGCCCAAACCCACACCCTCCACTTCTGCTAAAAGGCTGTGGGCAGGCGTTCTATTTCATAAAAACTTGTCAGGCAGACAACGCCACTGGACTAGTTTTGGCTGGGTTACTTGGTAACCAGTACGCATGATAGAGCCTTGCTTTCCTGAGGATGGCTAAACGCCTGTCTGATGGGAAGCAGTGAATTAATTCCTTTTTTTTTTTTGCTTTGCTTGCATGCACAGCTTTTGCTTTACCTATTAAACTGTTTTTATCTTAACCCATGAGTTGTCTCATCTTTACCCTTCTGATTCTCTCCCCTGTCCCACTGGGGAGGAGTCAGCGAGCAGCTGGGTGGGGCTGAGCTGCCTGCTGGGGTTAACCAACAACACCCACGTGCAATCAAATTGTTTACCGCACCTGCCTCAATTTTATTGTCCTGGACAGAGAATCCTGGAAGAATTTGAAAAAAACCAAACTATACAAGTTGCTTTTGCCTCTCATATGAGCTTTAAACATGCTTAAACTTTAAAGATGCTTGGATCATTTGCAGTGGAATTCAAAATCCAGGAGATTCTAAAGCCCTGACTGGAAAAAGAACATTTCTTGGGCAGAAAATAGCATAGCCACAAGAAGGACGTGAAGGGAAGGGATTTGTTTATAAATGAAACCTGAAGACTATTTAACTACAGTATCCCCATTAGAAAATATTTTGAAAGCATGATTTAGCACTTTTCCAGGTAAAAAGCACACCCAGTCATGATGTACATACATATGTTGCAGAAAAGTAGTATAAGCTGTATGTTGTTTTAACTACTGAATCAGTATTTTATTCCTCCATTTACTCCAGCAAATTTTAACATAGTATATTTACTTACCAAATAGTTTATAGTAGTACTCTCTTCCCCACGGCCCATATACTTGAAAAAACGATGATCTGCCACTACCAACATCTTACATGTGTTTTTGGAGTTCTCTGGAACAGCTCTTTTCTTCCGATGGATGCTTGCTAATGTGAACATTTTAAATACAATTAAATAAACACTCAGTAAAACTGCCACTGCTGTGTCTATTACCCTTACTGAAGACATGAATGTGAGTTTGGGTGGGTTTTTGGGAGGAGTGGGGGAATGTTCGGGTTTGGTTTTTGTTTGTTTTTTCTTTTTTTAATAATTATTCTTAAATTTTGTCTTCATTACAGTCCTTAAACTTGTTGTAAGGAAAGGAACACATAGTAGTGAAATTGAGCTATTCAACAGATTTACCTACAGAGCTTTTATGGTCATCATCTCAGCCTTTACACCTCCTCTCCTCCTGTTCCTAGTCATCATCCCCATCTCTGCTGCCACAGCTGAGGACAGAGGGACCCAAAGCTCTCAAAAACCCATCATCGCTCAGGATGGATTCTTACAAGGACCACCGAGGCCAAACAGGTCCTGCTGCACAGTACAAAGAAGTATAAAGTTGTTTTAATGTTCGCCTACATTGCTGCCAGGTATCACAACAAACGCTACTTCGGCCTGAGGAAATAGCTTCCTCTCCTTAGCCTACGCTTTGGTAGGGCCAAACACCCTTTCAACAAGCCCGGAAGAAACATGCCCCTAGTGACAGTTTCTTCCCTTCACTGGTTGTTGGGGCTCTTTTAGATGGGGAGCAGGCACAAAGAGGAATGCTGCTTTAATAGTTAAACTAGAAGTGGCAAGACAGATTACTGCCCAGGTTCTGCTCTTACTTGCCTACACACAGCCAGAATGTACACGCTGCTCTCCCAAGGTACGGATACTCACCTTCGTTTTGCTTCCTGTCTTCCAGTCCTTTTGGCAACAGTTCTTCTTCGTTCAGCTTTAAATAACCACACACTTTGGGGGACTGCAATCGTGAGAAATCTTTAATATCTTCAGATCTGTAGACCAGCAGTCTTTCATCCTGCACATTATCTACAAATCTCCACAGTGGCTGACAGCGCAAGAAAAACAGAAATGCAATTAGTTAGGAACACAGTGAACGCAAAGATTAAGTCTACATAAGTAAAAAATTATATTTATGTACCATCAAATCTCCACAGCTTTATATGTACAGGCGCACAAATACATTGGACTACAAAAATTTCACCCAGAGCAATAAGTCTACCAATAAAGTGACGTCTCCAAGAAAGCCAACAGAATTTAACTCCTTTATGCTACACAGGCATCCAAAAATCCAAGACCATCTCAACAGAGCAGCGGCAGCCACCTGATAAGGCTGTAGAAGAGACAGAATTTTTCTTCCACTCCAGAATATGAGCAAGCTGAGGAGGCATCTCAGGCTCCTCCGCTCCCTCCGTAACAGTACGGAGACTGGCACCGCCAGGGAGCAGATGCTTAGACAATGCTAACAAATGCACTGACCAGAAGCACAGGAGCTGGCAGATAACAGAGAATAAGTGCACAGCAGAACACAGTCTTCACAGCAGAAGGCAGGCTCTTCAATGTTCAATAGCTACCCAAAGTCACGTATAAGCATGAAAATTTCTCCAAAAGCAAGGAAAACCATGAAGTCCCATGGTTTTCCTAATTCCCACAGCAGATGCATACTGACCATCTTTTTTTTTTTTTTTTTTAATCAACACATCCCTATTATTATCTGTACGAAACAGCTACAGCAACATCACCAAATACAACACGGCCAGGGTCTGTTTTACGGGCAAAGCCAAGTAGTACAGACTGCCCATGTCTACACTGCAAAGCACTTGGGTCTGGGTCTCCTCTGGCCCTCAGGCAGTGGTTTTTCAACTTCAGACAACTATTATTCAGCATACCGTGCTTTCAGTTCACAGCAAAAAGGTCCTGAAATGCAAAGGCTGTGCTGGCCCTGCAGCCATGTGTCTACAGCGTGAAACTGAGGGCACACACATTTTGCATCCTAGAGCAAGGCACGAGGGCACCAGGGGTTTTTACGAAGGTCTGCAACCTTTCCGAACGGCACAGGAGGACCATGAAAGCAAAGGAAGGCAACGACGGAGTGGCTTTGTCCATGGTGCCTTTTGGGAATGGTCTCTGGCACACACCATCTCTGACTGCACGCGGGCATCATCTCATCCAGGGCTGCTTAGGGGCCGAAGCTGACCCTGGGATGCTAACAGCTAGGCAGTGTGGGCAAGCCGGAGCCTCCAAGCCATTGCCTGCCTTTATTTAGCTGTACAGACACAGCCAGTGAGGAGCAAGGGGGTTGGCTGTGTGGGGTGTGCTTATGTTACCCTAGACCACAAACACAAAAATGCTTTAAACCAATCAAATGGCTACTATGTGCTCTTAATGCAAAACACAAGCACAGCGGTTTGGGTATTCCCATCACATTTTCATACTTTAACATGACTGGATTTCCCAGGTTTACCCATAATTCTGCATATCCTTGGGTTTGAAGACAATTACAATATCCACGTAACAGTCAGCCATAATTACTGTTATTCAGCCATTCTAATACAGCTTGTGTCTGGGAATATACTGCACTCAACAACTCATTAGGATAGTCTCTAATTATATATTTGTTGATTATTCTTTTTTTAAACCAATAGTTTAAAGTAACACAAGCAATGAAAATGGTGAAAAACAGAAACAAGGGAGCAGGGAAAAATAGCAGATTTTCAAATAAAGCTCTAAGAATGGGAAAAATTCCAAGACGTAACAAAGCCAAAATTTTAGAAAGCTCAACAGATCTCAACACTGCTCAGAAGGCTGCACAGTTTGTTATTCTAGAAGACATGATCACCACTAATTACTACCATTATACCATTTCTGTTTCTGAAAGCCTTTGCTGTTTAAAACATCCCTTCTCCCTGATGTATCTAAAACACGCAAATGTCAGAGAATGTCACTCACTAATAAAACTCAGCACTTGCGAAAGTCCAATTGGCTTCACATTTCTCTCCCTCCTCCCTACTCACTGAAACAACCACCACCACCAAGTCTATTTTGAGCTACAGAGGTGTCTATGTGACTAACTAGAAAGAGAAACACCCACAGGGAAAAGAGCTGATTGTTTGAACATCGCTTTTAACAGTAAAGCGTACCTCTATATTGTATTCTTCACCGTCAGTATTGATTCTTACTGTAAAGTCTTCATCCCCAATATGTGCCACAACCTTGGAATTATGCTCTCCTTTAACATAAGCAAGGAAAAATGAAATTAATTCATCTCTATTTGCATGCACTCCTGCACATACACTGTTGGAGTTTTTTAAACTGTTTTTAAACTTCAAGCCAAATTACCTTCCTCAGTCCCTGAAGAACACTATACTGTCCAGTTTAAAGAAAAAATGAACCAGCACTCCCCCCAACCTTAAATTCTCCATGGTCATAGTCATCAAGACTCAGATTTAACTGACAATTTTGCAGAAGGTGTTGAGATGGCTGTGGGGATTAGTAATGGGGCACAGAACATTTCTGCCAACAAAAGCGGCTTGCATCTCACTACTATCAGACAGCAGTTTCATGGCATCAGCCTGCATTCCAGTGGAAAAGACTTTCGCCACATCACAAAGGCAACAAAAATCAAAACAACTTAGTGGAAGCATTAGTGTTGGACTAAAGTGGAGCTTTCTCTACAGAAAAGTAGTCTGCAAAGAACCATCTTGAAGTCTTTTAATATAACCACCTGGGCAACACTGCATCACCACCTGGTCCACTACCTGGGCTTTGTGTTCTGGGACAAGGAACGTTCAAGTCCTACCAATCAAATTTTTAAAAAAAAAAAAAAAAAAAGACAAGCTGCTGCTTGAGTAAATTATACCTTTGTGTTCTGCCAAACTAAACAGAAGAGTCCTATCTTAGAACCGTGGTGCAATAGCTCAAAAAAACCCCACCACCCACCAAACCTAAAAAAAACCCCAAACCCACCACAAAAAACAAAACCAGAAGATCCGAGGGGTATGAGAATTAAGTTTACTTGTTCATCCTAACCATATCTGATGAAAATAGGGGCAATACATCATCTACTTTGGCCCAGAGACTCGTGCAAAGCTGTGTTTTCCCAGCACTGACACACAGTCTAGTCCATACTAACCAACGACATGTCCGGTGAAAAAGTCTTGCCATTGAACACGATACTCCTTTTCCTTGCCTTCACCATCCACAATAAATGCTTGGAATTTTTCTGAAAAGTGTTCAGCAGTTGCAGTTAAGTATAATTTAAAGTGCCTGTAAAAGAATTTACTTCCATTTATTTTTAAGCAAAGTATACACATAACAGATACATTCAGTCTCCATTCACTGAGGGTCTGAAGGAAGTTAGAAAGCATTAATTCTGATAAGCAGGCTACAAAAACATATACCGTGTAATTCACAACTGTAAATATTTTTAAAGAGTCAAAGAAGTTTAATTAAAAAAAAAAATATAAGCCCAAAATCCAAAACAGTCGCAGTTTGCTCATGATGCGCCTTCTCCATTTGCAGTCAAGCAAAACCAGTTACTGGTAACTATTTAAAGGAAACCAGACCAAGGTATTTGTTCATCTATTTAAAATTAGATTATCTTAAAGTTCTTATTTTCTGAAATAATACAGTCAGAAGACCATAAACAGAAATCTGAACTCTGTACATTTTTATGATATATTGTCACAAAAACTAAAGGCTATCCCAAGAAGGAAGTAGAGAACCTTCTCCGGAAGGAGCCTTATGGGCTCCTGGTTTATGTGGGCTTTGGGTCAAAGATTTTTGGTATGCCCCTCTGCAATTATTCTGTAATTATCGTTGGCAGTATTGCAACCTCACCATAACGTCAGGCTGCACAAGGCAGTGCAAAAGAGGGACAGCCAGACATTGATCCCATTAACCTTTTATACTTACTACGTAAAAGCTAATCCCTCCGAACATCTAGAGATTTAAAAAATATGCACAACAACTTGCATGACAGTTGCAGCTGTAGATGACAGATGGGGAAGGCATATGAGAACACAGTAGACAAAGATGTCAGATGAACAAAATCAACCTACACTTGTTAATACCAAGCATTATTCTCACCCTGCTCCCCCATTTCAGATTCACAATTTCAGCACTCAAATACCAGTAAGGCACTTTTCTGACACTCAGAATAAAAGCCCTACAACATTCATGCCTGCTGTCTTCTACGTCTCCTTCCCTTTTCACCTGTGCTTCTATTTCCCATCTTATAAAAAAAAATCATTAAAAAAAGTGTTTTATTGAATGGGAAATTTACACTCAGAGATTAAACCCCCATAAAAAAAAAAAATACAATGGGCAACACATCACATGCACTCCCCAAACTGAAGGACAGTCAAGAAGTACGACAGTGTTGCCAGATCAGGTGTAAATAGGACCCAACCCAATCAGTGCAAGTAATCTACATGAAACTAAAGCTAAGAACAAAGCAAAAGAAATCTTAAATCACTGCCGCTTCAGCAAACAGGGTAATACAATGCCACTTATTCTTCTGTTTCCTCTGAGCCTCTCTGAAGTCATACAACCATGCAGATCACTAACTTAGAAGAACTGGCCAGTCATGACAGAAAACAAGATAACTATTTCTATGTTTGGAACTGTGCATTATTCATCTCAAACTGAAAGAAAATATTATGCTATTTCATTACTGATGATTTAATTACCTCTGCAGGGCTGAAAAACTTAATAGCCTCTCTACATGTGTCTCAGGCTGGAGGTCCCTCTTCTTCAGTGAGTGCTGCTGGATGCTAGACTGAGAAAGGATGTCGTAGTCTGAAAGCATGGACTCAACTGTGCCTGGAAGAACAACAAGGAAAGTTTTAGTTTCAAGAGACTCTCTCTTCCACAAACACACACAAAACAAAAAAACAGAGCCCCATTTCAACAGCAAGACCGCAGTTTGCTCTAATTTTAGGATAACTATTGTACATTTCTGTAAAGGTGCATTTTGTGTAGGCAAGTAGAAATAGTGTGAGACAAGACATGATCTGAGAGAGGCAAACAGAGAATTTAGTTCACTTCTTATAGGAATTTTTGAGCAACCAACTCATTTTTACTACCACGGCTGTGCAGAGCTAAGGCCCTCCCTGGCTGCCCCCTGGAAACTAAATGAGGGAGAACATCCCCACTTCTCTGGAGTGAAGCACTCTCCTCCTCACCTGCTGGTCCCCATCCAAGTCTGAGGAAGAAAATAATTTAACCCAGGAAACTTCTACCAAGTTCACTGCAGATCAGGACTGCATTTATTACCTTTCTGTCCAACAGTAGCCAGAAAACAGATGTCTGCGTAGCATAATCAATCAGCAGTAACTAACGAGGCACCTCATATGAGGCATCTCCAGGTACCCTGGTTTCCCAATACCTTACCACCATGCAAAACTCTTCTGATTTCCCTATTCAGAACACGAAAACTTGTTCAGAGGAGGGAGACCAAGGGCCCGAACCCCCACAGGGAGCCGCACACAAATTACAAATTGAGGTCAATATTCTGCAGATGCTTCCACCATTAACAAGTGCACAATGCCGGCTGCCGACAGTGTTTGACGCTGGCTGATAAAGCCTCCTGCTGCTTTGTAAGGCATCCCTTCGCCAGGAGCACCCACCCACACCCCTCCTCTCCAGAGCACCCACCACTCAGTGAGACACCCGACAACAACCTTCGCTTCCGCCAGCGCTGATCACTTCATTTGCTATTTACAGCCTTAAATAGAAGCCCTTATTCCCACATGACCATCTTTCTCCTCTGCCAGAGGCATTCACTCTTTTCACTGCACCAAGTGAGGAGTCAGCTGTGTTTTACAAGAGGCAGAAGTGCTCATCCAGCCATTCTTTATTAAAAAAATTCCCCATTTTTACCCCTCCATTTCCAGTTGTGCTTCTAAAACAGACACGATAGCTACCAAAGTGGGCTTTCATTAACAAAGACAGCTTCCACCTCTTCAGAGCCCCTGATCACTAGCTTACACTACCCAGCCAAGTAACCTCATGCGTTTTATTGGGCTTTTAAGTAAGCAGCACCACCAGTAAGCTGAGTTTTACAGGCTCTTATGCAACAAGCCAAGATTGCAAACTTGAAATAGCTCCCGAGATAATTGTTGTTGTTTTTTTTTTTTCAACCCGGCACTCAGTACCATCATTTATCCCCAAATACATGCCTCTAAAGCCCAAGAAAGCCTTTAAGAACAGACGCACTGTTTGGGCCAAGGCAAGCACCTCACTGCTTCTTTTGCGAGGGGGTGGGAGGGGAGCATTAACCACCAGTGTACGCGCACACATGTGCTTGTGTACACTGGAAGTGAGGGAGCTGCAGAAACAAAGATGACCCTCACAACCCTCTTGCCCCTGCACCAGACCTACTAGCGAAGTGACGGATAGGCGACGCGGCTGCCTTCTCGTGCAGCAGAAGCCACCGAGCAGGGGCTCCCAGGCTTCTCCCTCCCTTGTCATTGAGCAACACAGGAAGGGCAGTACAGTTGCAATTTCCTGATTTCTGTTTACAACCCACAGGTCGAGAGCACCTGCAATCGATTACCAGGCATTTAGGGTTATACGCAAAAACAAGTTTCCACCACCTCCCTTTGTGTTGTGGTTTTTTCTCCCCAACTTACATGCCCAGTTGCTGCATGTCAGGCAGCACCGTCGTTAGCTTGCCGCATGCTGCAGGGCTGGTTCGCTAAAGCCAGTGAGCAAATACCTAAAAAAACCTCAAAACATCCATTTTCTTTAAAAAGTCCATTATAATTCATTGCTTATGGTCTGGCACCTGCCCTCATCCAGAACCCCCTGGGAGGGAACAGGCAGGGAAAATCAATTCTGAAGAAAAAAACCTCATTAAACTGTCTAGTCCTAAATTCTTTTAATTAAACCTGAGATTCTTTCAACACGCTCAGCTAGAGCAGACCCCTCTGTGAATTAAAGTGAATGCTGACATATGGGATACCAAACGTTGGTTCGTGATACAGAGCAAACGTGTGGTATGTGGGCCATGAAGCAAGAGAGGTGTGGTACCACTGTGGCGCTGCTCAGGGACTTACTGACACGGGGACTTGCCAAGCACAAGGTCTGCCTGAGAGGCACAACCCCAGCTGCAAAACACTACTGCTTCTGCCCCCTTCCACCTCTGCCTGCAAAGTACAGCCCAGAACCAGGGGAAGGTCATGCCAAAGAGCAGGATGCAGCTGCCACTACGGCCAGACAAAGTGTCTCAGTTTCATGGCAAGAGAATCGAGAAGTCTGCTAAAGAAATTAGTTTGTTTTATTTGGTAGGCATGGAGAACTTCAGAAGTCCTGCTCCACCTCAACACACACAAACACCCTTCTGGAAATGCCTCACAGAGACACGGGAAGGGTAGTACGAACAAGACCTGCAGAGCTGATGAAGATGAGTAAGATGATCCTGTTAAAGTAACAAATGAAACACAGGACACTCCTAGTTCCCGTAACCCCAAAACAAGAATGCACTTGTTCCTATTTCCTCTTACCCTTCCTAAATTTGTTTGCTTTTAATTTTACTTGTGACATAAGTGAAGACTTAAGACATGCTGCTGCTAGACATAAATCTGCAAACTAATTCAGGTATCGGACAAATGTGGAAAAAATACATTGGTAACACGCTCAAACCAAAATTTTTCTGTAAAATTTTCGTACTGTGAAAAATGAACCCATGGTCATGGCTTATTGAAAATGAAAGATGAAGTGTCATTATTTTAAACAAAATAGAGAACTGTACAGAGTCCAACTGTACAGCAGTCTGTGGATGGGAGCCACAGCAAGCATATACTTGACTAGTTTTTACTCAAGTTTAATAAACTTTCTGGCATTCCTTCCTCATTATCTTCACCATGGTCCAAGGGCCATTTCCCATGGGCTTCAACAGCACCAAGCTGACTCAGGTTTTCCCAAACCACTTTCCTGCAGGTCCTTCCCTTCCGGCCCCTCCTAGATTTCTGCATTTCTCTGTTTTTGGAGGAGGACACCTTAATTTCATCCCAATATCCCAAATATTTGTTTATTTCTGATCTCAGCCTTCAACTCATTGCACCTTCTCACCTGAGGGGGGGACCTCACCAGAGCATACACATCTCAGATTTGTAAGACAAACAGGGAAGGAACATTTAACAGTTGGACCTGATGATCTTAAAGGTCTTTTCCAACCCGAACAATTCTGTGATTCTATGACTGGTGACAAAGATGATACCCCAAAGTCCTCAAGAAGAAATCCACAGCAGTGACTTTACCTCTGCTGCCAGCTTTGAACTCACCAACTGTTTCCTCCTTTTCTTCCACCTTGTTTTAAAAGCCTACTGCCACCAGACTTTGTAACTTATAAGACACAGAAAAGTATTTTTTAAGTAAATGATGTGCCAGTACTCATTGCAGCAGGCTACTCCAGCAGCAAAGAGCTCAAGAATGTGCTGGGCAACAGCTTAGCTCATCGAGTTGGAGGCCACCGCATATTTTTTAAAAGAGGAGGTTTCTCTTCAAGTGCTCAGCTACCAATTCAAATACCAATGGCATCCTTCTCCAACCAGCTCAGCTTTCACAAGCAGAACAGTAAATTCCCATGATCTCATGCCCAGTCTATTGCCCGGAAAGCAACAAGTAGATGTGGCAAGTCAGCCATTTCATAAGCATTCCTTTCAACTGCATTATTTATAGAAAGGTTAAGCTTACCTAGAAGCATGAAGTTTTAACCCAGAAGATATAAACATAAGATTCAACAACATTTAAAAATATTACTTTCAGGATTTAAAAATGACCACAAGAGCACCAGAGGGGCTCGCAGGAATGATTGCAGTTATTTCTCCAACCATCCCAAAGCAAATAAAAGCAGAAATAAAAGTGTCAAAAGGCACTGGGATGGGATAACAAGCCTACAGAGAGCAGTCCTAGAACAAGCACAGCAAACACGCCTGGGGAAGCGTTTGCTGCGTGACTGTTAAACCACCGGCATCTCCAAGTCCGAAAAAAAAGCTCCAGCCTGTATTTTGTGTGGCACTCATTGGTTACCGCTCAAGATCAGTACCTGGGTTGATTTCCAATGGATATCAAATGCTTAACAAAAGCTTGTGAGGAGTAACTAATAACAATTTTTCTGATTCAGCTGGGGAGTGACTGAAGCGTTGAAGGGCTCCATATTCTTTATTGTAATTATTTTTTTTTTATTCTTCAAATGATGCTCCTTTTCACACATAAAAATATTTTAAAGTAACCAAATATAGTCACTTCAAATATCATTCACAGCCCGAGTGAGAATTTGGACCAGGAAACACAGACTGGAGTCTTTCCAACCTTAACCATATGAGCAAGTCTCCATCACCCTACATAAAACAGCTGTCCTCGTGTTTGTGGTAGCAGCCAGTTACCGGCTGCAATATAGTGGGATCATTTGACTGGAGCACCATTCCAGGGAGTGCTAATGGATAAGGCCAATATACTCATACCTCAACTGGGCACACAAATGGTCTTCACCATGCAGGAGGTGATACAGTAACGCCTAAATGTTTATGGATACCTTCTCTTAACAGTTTACACTGCTTTTAGGAGACTGTTGATGAAGAGGACGCATTGAGAAGATCCATCTGTGAGAAAGCTGTTCCATGACAGCTCATTACACTGCTGTTACATCTTACTCCAGGACATCTGGTACAGAGCCATTGCCAAAGACAGAAAACACAGTGAACTGAAACACTTATCCCAGGTGAAACAGCCCATGCTTTTAACAGTTTAGATAAATCATGCTTACTTGTCTCCACCAAAGAGTGGCTGCTGTTTTGCTCATCAAGTATACGTGAACAGAAGAACTTGTGCGAGAAACGGGTTCAAAGCAAGAACCAAATGTGTGTCAGCCTGCTTATAAACTGTAACAGGATAAAGGTTCACACTCTGTTTAAACACATTTCTAGACAAACCTGTTAGTAAGAATGGCCAGCCACATCAGCATTGCTAAATGTTTTAAAGGGCATGTTTTTGACTCGATCCCAACTGCACCAAGCTTGCTAAACCACGTGAGAAAACAAGGTGCCCAAATTCAGTTAGTCACCAGCACAGCACAAAGCCTCGGGGTACGGTTACATAGAGCTCGCGCTGGGAGGTAAGGTAGGCTGCCGATTTACTGTCTACCAGCTACTCCATGGTATACTTTTTCTGCAGCTACACAGGGTAAACTACTCTGTACTTACCACACGTTGAGAAGTGTGCCCAGTGATAGATACTGTGAAAAGTTTACAACCTACAAAACACCCTTTAGCTCATCTCAGGAAAAACTTGTTCATATAGCTGCACCCTTATACTACTTCAAAGTTTTTTTCCCTATTCCTGGACAGTGCAAATATTTCCTTAAGGGTGCAAATTCCGTTTAGTAGAAGCCATAGAGATAATTAAACTGCTATTTCTGGTGGTTTTTAATATAGCTGAATACCCCTGATGGCTCCTACATGTTACCTCACACGCTTTCAACCTCGCAGATTTTCTCCTTCACTAAACACAACTTAAATAGGGACCAGTGAGGAAAAACATTTACTCTGTTGGACCTACGTTATTTAATAACTCAGTCTGTTCTATCAGCAAAAGCAGAAAGCACTTTTTGAAAAAAAGAATGCAATATCCTGCTCGAATATTGACATTATAAAAAATAAGGAAGCTCCCTAAACTAACATCCTTGTATTCAAAGTGAAACAAGGGCAATACAGTTGCCTCATCTTAAACCAGGAGAGCATCATATGACTCGATGCTCAAAAAAAAAACCCACCCAAAATCACATGCTGTCGTATATCCTGCAGCCAAGAACAGCCAAGTCACAGGATGTAGTCTTCTCTGGAAACAGATCATTTGTCTGGCTCTCTAAAAACTGTCAGCCTCACTATTGTGCCTAGATAACACACCACAAAATCCTGCTGTGTCACAAAATAAGTTTGAGTGGAGCTGATTCTAGGTAGAGACTAATTACTGTCTGGGAGACACTTCTGAGACCAACCCCTTCTCCCCATCTGACTGCATCTCTGCTCCCTGTGGATACGACTTTGGACTCACGCAGACATGACCTTCCAAAATTCAAGGCACATCACAGGTACTGAGGGGCAGAACTTTCCAATTTCAGTAACAATCTGAAAAGGTGAGAAAGGAAACCAGGGAATGCAAGGGGTACCCTGTTCTCATTCAACACCTCAGTAATTACAGATCAGCACCAAGTGGGTGGCAGCTATAGGTGCCTCCCTGCGTAACAGAGCCCCCTTCCCTCCCCACCCCCTAGTCCATGTACCTACATAGGTTAAAAATGCAAGTATCAAGGAGAAAAAAAAAGAATTACAGATAATGCATATTAAGAACAGCACAGGAAGACAAGGATGGATATTGTGAAGAAATGCAGGGCACAAGTGACAAATATGGGCTAAAAAGCATCCAAGCTGCAGGCTGGCTGGCAAGCAGTACAGTTGTGTACATCTGCAAGAACAAAAGACATCAGGAAGACCATCAGAACCATGGGGTTGCAGGGTATCCCCAAAACAAGCAAGTTGGAGTGTAGCATATGAAATCTGTAGAACAGGACAGCAAGATGTACCGCACTTTGTTAAAGAAACCTGGCTCTTGGTTAACCTTTTATTACACACAGCAAAGGAATTCCCT